TGATGTTGAAGGTTACTCATATTTGTACAACACAGAAACTATTGTCCAAGCAACATGCGCATAGCAGCAAAAAACCCCCAACATTTGGCACACGCTAAATAACGGCTTACCCATAAGTTGTGTTAATGTAACAGCTCCTGGGTGCTAGAAAACAACGTGGTGCTATTCTGAAGAAATATCACTGACTCTCCCAAGAGGATCAAGCAGATAAATACTTCTTTTTTAGTTATAATATATAGCAAAGCTGTGCCAATAAACATCAGCTCAGCTGAGTAGGGAGAATAGCTATCACACACCACTGGTGAGGCGTCAATCAACATCAGAAAGACACAAGATGAAGGGAAAGGTATTTCTGCACAACTGAGCTGCACTTTGGGGACATGCCCTCAAACTGGAACACCCAGAAAACCAGGCAGAATCCACTTGCAACAGAGAAGAAATGGGGCATTTTACTCGCACATTACTTGGGATTGTACACTGTTCCCTCTTGCAGGGTTGTACTGACTGCCAAAGTTGCAGTACAAAGACTTCCCTTTACCACACCAGTGCAGTCACAGGCAAGGTACTTCCCTCCAGCTGGTAAGTGAGCCCTCCCTCCTGAATTTTAGATAGTACTCGCCTGCTGTTGTGAGACATACCACTTGGTTTACTTTTTGTGCTTGTCAGGGAAAGGCACGGGCAGCTCTGCCTGGGGTCACGCCTTCTCATTTGGTTTTCATGTCACCACTGCTGGGAAATGATGGTACCTACAGTATTTTTGTCTCCTAAAAGCTGTGAAGAGTAGGATAACGCGTCCTCACCGCAGTGAGTAGCCACTCTCCGAGTTCTAGCTGCACGCCACTGTGGCAGACCTTCTCTCTGAGCAAACAAACCGGTGTGATACGACTGATGCGATCACAAGCACCACGTGGAACCTGCCCATAACATCTTGCTTTTCTTGAATACTGTCTTTACTCTGCAAATGGAACTGCAAAATCTACTTGATCTGTGAGAGAATACTGCCACTTGCAATTCAGATTTGACAGGATTTTTCTCTCTCTCTCACTTGCTCTCTCCAACCAATATTCCACCTGAACACTGCAGACAAATTAATTTTGAGTATCAAATCGGATCTGAGATACCCACCCAGCAGCAGAGAACACTTACAAAAATTCAGATAATTTTCTGACGTGAACATTGATTTGCATCCGCTTGGCTGCTTGCAGGACAAGCCCCGTCAGCTGGGGAATAAAAGAAATCAGAGTGTCAGAAAAAAAGAAAAAAAAAAAAAAAAAAGAGAAAATGTGAAAAAAATAGGAACTGGGAGAATACAACCTAATATTTACACTGGTGCGGACTGGACAAGGCAAGACAAGACCCACTTAGCGTTATTATTTATTCTCCTTCACCAAGATGCTCTCATAACTCATATAGCTACATTCCAGTCTGCCTCTTAATTAAGGAGATGTGAAGAGCTGCAACAGAGATAAGCGTGCCATCGTGCTGTGCTGTGCCAACTTACACTTGGGCTACAGAGAGATCCCCTTCCTCCAGACCCAGCTGTAGTTTTGGAAAAGCCCACCACCTACAGCTGTTTGTTCTGCTTTCTGAGTCCTGTTGCAGAGACTCTGCAATCTTAGCCACAAGACAAACCTTTATTTCTAAAGGGTGAAAAACAGATACTGACCACAGTCAATGGCAGTGTACAGCCACAGAGATAATGAGCATGAAACACTTCTCACAGTAACGCCCCCACTACAGCAAGAGTTGCAATCGGATGCGCAGGAATGTTTTCCTCATTCAAGCAGCAAAACTCAGTCTGGAGAGTGGGTGGGAGAGGGGAGGTGCAGAGCTCATTTTACAGTAGTACAAAAAAAATGGGTAAGTAGGAGCAGGGCAACAGGAAGAACCTGGCACCAAACCAGATACCAAGCAGAATCTGCACTAGACCTTAAGAGAGGAACTATGCAATTTGCTCCTGCTTTAGCTACACATAACAGCTTGGTAAGTCAGAGTACTCTGCTTCTGTAAGCCAGGCAGGTCATGATTTTGCTCTTTGCCTCAACCTTCCTTTGCATGTGTGGATGTAGAGATCGGTGTTGTACTGGTTTTAGCTGGGTTAGAATTACTTTTCTTCAGAGTAGTTGGTATCAGGCTATGTTTTGGAATTGTGATGAAAACAGCATTGCTAACACAGGGATGTTTTACTTATTGCCGAACAGTGCTTACACACAACCGTAAGGCCTTTTCTGTTTCTCACGCTGCCCTACCAGTGAGTAGGCTGGGGGTGGGCAAGAAGCTGGGAGGGGACACAGCTGGGACAGCTGACCCAAACCGGCCAAAGGGATATCCCATACCATACGGCATCATGCTCAGCAATGAAAAACTGGGGGGGGGGGGGTTTGCCAGGGCTGCTGTTGCCTGAGGACTGGCTGGTGGTGACCAACTGGGATTTTTCTGCATCACTGGTTTTTATTGGTTCTGTTTCTTTTTTTTTTTTTTTAAGTTATTAAAGCATCTTTATCTCAACCTGACTTTTCTCACTTCTACCCTCCTGATTATCTCCCTCATGATGCTCGGGGGGAAGCGAGTGAGTGGCTGCGTGGTGCTTACCTGCCTACCGCGTTAAACCACGAGTGCAAAACCACGGATCAACACCTGCAAGCTCCTTTATTTCTGACATTCCACAGTAAGAATACCAACAACTCTGTCAACTTCCATGAAAGACATAATCACCACGCTTCTGTATCTCTCCTCTCATGACTCCATGCTATCTAAATTGGGTCCAACATCCACTGAATCTTTATTGATTTGCTCTCTTCGTCCACATACCTAACTTCTTCACCCTGGGGAAAACGCAGTCAAGGTAATACCCAAACGGCTGGGATGGCAGGGTGAACAGGAAAAGTAGCCTCATCTGCTTGTAAGAAATATTTTACCCACTTCATCCCATCATTACCAGTCTGATGGCATCTCTAATTGCACAGGCACAAGGGGAAAAGTATTTTAATTCTTGCTATCCAGGAAAGTTTGCTCTATACAAGCAAATACAAACAGATCAGTTCCACATAAACTAGTACAGCTTCCCTCAGGTCAATGGGACTACGTCGATACACACCATCCAAGAAGGTGACCTAAACCCACGTGCTTGGATTCACCTATATAACCCTTTAAAAAAGGCTGCACTTACAGGGTTGATGTCCAGAAATGTCTCATGATACTCCTTTTTTGGATGCATGCCCTCTATGTCCTTTATAAACTTTTGATCTGCTTGGTAAAAATGTGGAGCTGATAGAAATATTGGAGCACCTGGAATGTGAAAACATAGAAAGTCACCACCTAAAAAAGGCAGAGCAGGATTCGAGGAAGTCTTTGAGGACCTCAAAACTCTTCCCACTGTGCCATTTACAGTGAAAGGAAAAGCCCATTCTGGAGCTACAGAATCAATGCTCTGACTCCCTGTCTTCAGAACAAGCAAATTTTCCCTTGTGCAGCATCAGCACGGCTTTATGTCGCGAGCTTGCATGTCAGTCTTTTGCACCATTTTCATTCAACTACTCAGATGTGACAGCTACCTGGCTAAGAGCAGAGGATAAATGGCCAAACTGGTCAGTATGGATCCTGGTACTTCCTTCGGATTCCCTGATTTACATCTTTGCCGGAGCAGACAGCATCTGACAGGAACATCCCCTGAGATCACTCCTCCATTTTACAACCAAATGATGACTTGTCAGTGGCAGATTTCACTGAGCACGGTCATAACCCTACAGGCCTCACCAAACTGCCTCATTTATTTCAGACAGAAAGGAGAAATATGCTCCCCACTGATGTCCTTCCAGTCTGCTTCCACTGCCTGGTAACATACCTTGCTTGCAGACGCTGACGTTGAGGACGCCAGTGCCAACGCAGTTTCCTGGTGGCACGCAGAATCCAGCATTGTCTGGGTTAACCGTCGTGTTGGCAAATACCATAGGAGAGGGCACAAAGCGGTAGGTCGGGATGCCTGCAACAGCTCCAGAGCTGTCGTACACCAGGTAAAAAGATCTGCAAGGAAGAAAAGCCAGACCCAGATTTGTTAGTCTTGAGCACGCGCTGACACCTGCTGCAGATGTCTCTTTGCCGATGCCTGTGTATCAACTTAAGTTTACAGTAAGGTAGAGGTTTGGTTTAAGCCCATTCCAACGATCTTCCGTATTAAATTTAATATGCTTTTGATCAGCAAATACACATCTCGTCATTCTGCTGCTGCGCAAAATAGACAATCCTGTGCCAACTGTGCTGCTGCAGGGACACAGATGCCTGCCTTCAGCATTTCAGGGTCTCACTCTGGTCCCCATGTTGCTATTGCGTGTTGTGTCAGACAGTGCTGGTACATGCTACTGAGAGGGACAAGGAAACGAACACAGTCGTGGAAGAAAGAACAATTTGGCAAGTCCTAAATTTTGTGTAACACGCATCTGTATTGATTTAAATAGAGAATTTCAGATCGCTTTTGTTCTTCACAGACAGGGAAATGGGCAAGGGAGGAGACAAGGTGGAACATAAGGAAGGAAACACCAAGATTTTCTGCATCTTGTTGCATTTCAAACAGCACTATGTCAAGTCATGAATCTCTGAAGAGGGCAATCTGGGTTCTCTAAAAAAGCAGGGCATGGAGGAAGATTTTGGAGGAAAGAAGCTTCAGGCAAGGTTCATATAAATCCTTCCATTCCCCTCATTACTAGCCTTGCAAGGCAGTCCAGTCTGTCTTTCCAGTCAACTTCCAAGTTTTCACTTTATTTTGAAACAGCATGTCCTTAAGTTGAGGCAGATTGGGGTTTTTTTTGGTGTAACTCTCTCATCCTTCATACCGTGAATAAATATAGAACGCTCATACTGTTAAATAAAATCACGGGAAGAAAAACACCAGCCTAGCATGAATTCTCAAGAGGAATGGACGTAAATGCTCTGCTTTAAAGTCTGAGTGACATTTTCTTCTCCTTACCTGCAGAAATCAGAAGAAAAGATATAAATGTTCTCATCTTTGCTAATCAGCGGATGAAAGGATGTCCCATCTGTTCCATTAATCATGTTACACGTCTCCGTTGTCCACCAGCTCAATGACCTGAAGAAAACGAAGCAAAGAGAGTAAGGGTTAAGAGATCTTTGAGTGGTGGTCAGGCAATGCCAGCTCACGGTCTAAGCAAACGAGATTCAGACCTGTACAGTGCGAAGTCCTCTTGCCTCAGCTCCGCTAACAAAAAAGGGGATTAAAATGGGTTTAAATTGCATCTGTAGTCTCTCAAGCATCTATATCTCTCAAGAATACGTCTGCAAGAGTTCCTACCATATACGTAACTGCTGGCAGATGTTTTGTTTAATGGGAGAGGGATGCTTCAGGTAGTTCATCTTTGTAACATGCGCTGCCTGCTGAAGAAGTGTTAGATAACCAGGCACGAGATGCCCCAGCCTTGGCTCTCGGTACAGAGCAGCAAGGAAGGGTGGTGCCTGGGAAGACTGGCTGTGTAAGTGTGGGAACACTGTCCCCGCAGGTGGCTGGGACGGGTGTCCTACAGGAGGGAGAGGAGAGAGGGTCACGTCTGCCAAGGGCAGTCAGGGATGCAAGGGTGAGTATTCACAGCGGTCTGCTCTCAGAGGGCCGGGGCTGTCTTCCTTTCAGTTATATGGCACATAGCAAAACACTGGGGGGCTGGTCTGAAGCTACAGCTGCCAAGAGCTACGGCCACCCTCAGAATAAAAGGACTCCCTCCCTTTTTTTTTTAAACAATACTTATGTTTCACTAAAAGGTGAAAAGGGGCACATTTTGACAGAGGCCACACCACACTGAAAAACTTACTCTTTTCCTTTCCATTCCACAATCCTTGAGAAGTTAAGGTAGTTCGTTTCCCCACTTAGGAAAACATATTCCCCGTCATCGGTTCCATTCATCTGCAAACAGATACATGAGTGTCGTGGTTTAGCCCCAGCCAGCAACTCAGCACCACGCAGCCGCTCGCTCACTGCCCCTGCCCCGGTGGGATGGGGGAGAGAATCGGAGCAGTGAGAGTGAGAAACACTCCTGGGCTGAGATAAGAACAGTTTAATAATGGAAATAAAATAAGGTAAAATAATAACAATATAATAATAACAGTAATAATAATATCCAAAGCAAGTGATGCCCAATGCAATTGCTCACCCCCCGCCGACCGATGCCCAGCCAGTTCCCGAGCAACGATCACTGCTCCCCGGCCAACCCCCCCAGTTTCTATACTGCCCATGACGCCGTATGGTATGGAATGGCCCTTGGGGCAGTTGGGATCAACTCTCCTGGCTGTGCCCCCTCCCAGCTTCTTGTGCCCCTGGCAGAGCATGGGAAGCTGAAAAGTCCTTGACTGGCATAAGCAGTGCTGAGCAACAACTAAACCATCAGCGTGTTATCAGCATTCTCCTCCTCCTAAATCCAAAACACAGCACTATGCCAGCTACTAGGAAGAAAATGAACTCTATCCCAGCCGAAACCAGGACAATGAGCTTTTAATCGCTCCACTCATTCTGTAACACCTGGCTGCTAACTACAACGGGGTGGCAGGAGTTTAAGCTGTCATCACATCAAATGCACCCCACGAGTGATGGACTCCCCCTGAGGTAAGTGTGATTCATTAAACTCCACCTTGAATATAAATGAGGTGGAAGTGACTGGGCTAGATTCCTACACCTCCCAAGTGAAGGGAATATAACATTAGATTAGCCTTTTTTTTCCTTTGAAATCTGCCACTGAAAAAACAGCTCTTAGCAAAAAAATAAACCCACAGAAAATCACCTGAGCCCTGCAGGTGATCTCCAAGAAACAAGGAGTCCCCGCAGCCCAAAATGATGTACAACCAGGAACACTGTGGAAGCCAGCAATGGCTCCAACACAGAAATAACATGCAATTTCAACCAGTTACTAAGGAAATCGGTCAGGAGATTTTTCTAGTAGTTTGCACAACCGGCCCCACAAAGGCCATGTTATTCAAGTGTGCACAGGCAATAGAGGAGCGGTTTACATCCACCCTTGGAAAGCCTCTATCCCTACCTGAGCAAGGGAAGTCAGCTAAAACACTCACAGCTATGCTACCAGCCAGTGGCTAGCTACAGCCAAACTGAAAAGGGAACATCCTTCTGCCATCCCTGCAGCCTACCTCCTGGCCTCAGTCCAGGCACATCCTTCTCAACTGGCTGGCGATGACAGTCCAAACTCTGCAGCAATGACATCATTCCTCACTAAAGCATCAGGAAGTCTTGCATACCAGTTACCTTATTAAAGAGACCAAATACTGGATCGATCTCAGGATGCAGAAGATGAATGGTCGACAGGAGCCTGTCTTTGTAGCCCCACAGTAATTCATGAACGGTGTGAACGGTGAACAGGGATTCTTGGTACAGAAGCAGCAGCACCTCCGTGGCAAACTGAAGAGGGGTTGACCTGGTCCACTCCATCGCAGTCTGCCAGGGGATTGGAATAAGGGAACAATGGTCAGATTTATTCTAGAACAAATAATACCAGCTGCGTACAAGCACAGACACACAGACACGTTTCAGCATTGCACACGTTTCAACTGTATTTTCAGTTTCATTATTTCTACTCGTGGCAAGTAATGTGCTGGCTAACAGGTTCTTCAGCTTTTCTCCCACAGGGATGTGCTCTTGCAGATTCCCATTCAGCCTGGCACCAGGCACACAACCAGCTCAGTTCTGCGCCATTAACTCCCACACTCCAAAGAATGGATTTTAAGTGAAATGTGCGAAACCGCTTTCTAAACAGCCTGAATTTCACAAGTATGTTACAGCTGGAGACGTGCTTTGAATGTCACCCTTCGGAAATTACAGTTTACATTTTTAAAAGCCATTTATAAAAGACAGCCATTTCTCCAAAATGCAAACAATACGAAAATTTATTTCCTTTCTAGCTGACAAGTGATTTTACAACATGTCTTTAAAAAAGCAAAAACCAAAGAAGGGACTATTCCTTGGGCGAACCAATGTGTAGTTCTTCTAGCTGCCTGTTGCAGTACGTCACAGCCAAAAATCCAAACAAGAGAGAATACTTACCACCACGCAGATGCCTGGGAGGAATTGTAAATACAGGGACTGTATTGTTTGCAACTTTTAGTAAGCTGACTCCTATCTACTACTATGTACAGTGCATTTATGTATTCATTCATCAAATCAGACAAGACATTTTTGAAAATGCTGGGGAAAAAGTAGAAATGAAGGTACCCTGTAATTAAAGACAATTCAACTAGTACGGGGAGTAAAGGCTTGGTTACACAACCAACAAGTACTTTAGTACAGTCTAATTTCCTTTGGAAGGGGTGACAGCTTTAGATCTGCTTGTTCTCATACTATCCCTGTACGAGACCAAAAATCATGGTCTGCCTCTGATAACCAAAATCAGACTTTCTTCGCAGAGTACTTTCACCTAACAGTTTGGAGGTGCGTGTTTTAACTTTAATTTTATTCTGAGAGCACCCTTCCATTCAGCTGTATCTGAAACCCCTCTAATTTTTTTTTTTTTTTATCAGTTTGAGATGCAGACTTGGAGGCAATTTTTGCAATTTTGACAAAAATAACCCCAAGCATTCCAAACTTTCTCATTCAGAAGTCAGAGTTCCTCCTATGCATTTCACATCACTAATTCCCTAGTTTCACTTACTCATGGAAACCCAACAAGCCTGATTTCTGCTCATCTCTGAAGCGCGTGTCAGCTCTCGGCGCAAGAGTGAGGCACTAACACTACAGAGGCGTATGGTGAGGGAGGAACGTAATAAAAAACCCCCACAACAGTCCAAACCAAGACTGAGTGCAGTATCTGCCCTAGACATAAGCTGCCACTCTCGTTCTTCCGTCATGTTTATCTACCACAAAGGGCGAGACAGCATGAAGCAACAACCTGCTAGTTATAAATCACGTGCTATGTGTTGGGATGATTTGCAAGCAGAAATGAAAGAGAACTCACCACTGCAGGAATATTAACTGTTCTAATCAGGTCCACTTTAGCGTCTCCAACTGATTTCTCAGGTTCAAATACATACGTCTTTGGATTCAGAGCAGATACTTTGGTACCATTGTCCAAAAACTGAACGTGCACTCTTGGCCTATATTCTCTGAAAAACAAGAGACTCTGTTCTCTAATCAAGTTAAACAAGTACACATAACATTAATTGCAATTAACTTATGGCTGTTCTACTGCTTTAAGTACATCAAGGGTGGGATTCTGAGTTCATTAGGAGTAGATTAATTTTTGCTACTGCTGCTGTCAGCAACAGAACGCCCTTTTGTGGCGGTGCAAGCCGAATCAGACCTCACCGGGTGCTTCCAAAAATGCCACCCTGCATGTTAATTGCACTTCGTATTTTTGCCTCCTCTCTAAAAACCTCCAAGGAAAGAGAACAATTTCAGACGGCACAGAAGGATTTAGAGGCAGTATATATGGGACTGCCCTTGGAGCACAATTTGAAAACAAAACTTTTGCCTCTTTGCTGCAGGCAAAATTCACTCCCAGAGAGAACAAGATGTAGGCTTCATGTAAGCCTCATCAACCTGACCTAAGAACCTACCAGAATCTTTCTGCTGGCTTCAAAGTACTATGTACTAGGAATTCTGGGCTTACATGTGACATGACCACAGAACAAGCCTCATTTTAGCTCCTCTCCTTTAATTCTCAGGCAGGAATCCTGGACACGACAGAAATTGAACTGAATTTTTGCCATGAACAACTCATGGCCCGGGAGGTGGCTTCTGTTACTGTCTAAGCGCTCAGACAAGCGGCATAAAACTCAGGACTGCTGACAAACAGGTGCAATGGGAAGAAACATCAAATGCTACCTGCTGGCCTGATGAGGAGGTCGGATCTTAATTGCATGTCATAGCCCTAATTCAGTCCGTTGCCACTACCATTTTACAAACAAGAAACATACAATTCTGCAGAACTGGCTGGCTCAGGCTCAAAATGAGCTATACATGTGTCTTCAGCAAACCTGGAAAGGGAAATGGCAGGTTGTCTGCTCATGGCATGGTCCCTTTGGCGTACACATGAGGTGAAATGCACTGTATTTCGTTAGTCTACATTCACTCAAGAGTTTGTTGACTTTTAGGTTGCTTTGCTTCCTGTGTAAATTTGAAGTCCCAAGACGTGAACGTGAATTATTCTGCAGGACCCTGTGCTACGATGTTTTTAATTCATTTCAGATCCTAGATCCTATCCCGGCTGCCCTCAATGCAGCTTCATGACAGGCTGTATTACTCTGGTTCAGTTTTTCAAATTCAAAGCAAACTGGAAACGTCAGTGAAACTCTTCCTGTTAAGAACCCACCCTTTTCCTTACACAAACAGTGTAGCTACCGCTCTTCAGCATCCCTACCACCTACGAACATTTTGGTCTGGCAACAATTCCAGCTTGATTTGGCAAGAGCCTCTTGTACAGCAATCTACTTTATACCCTAGGGCTTGAACTGAGGGGATGGGAAGGGACAGGTGTGAAGTGCCTTCCCTAAAATAGGCCAGAGTTAACCTGAGAAGCGTCTCCAACTCTAAAAAGGCCGGAGAGGAAAATAATACTCCCTGTTTAGGAATACAAGTAGGAGGATCTCAGATGTTAAAGACAAAAAGCTGTAAATGTGTGCAAGACCAGACAATATTAAAGTATTCTTTGGGACTCAGCAGGCTTGGGCAGATAAGCAGCTTGCACTTTATAATTAATTATTTTATATGCTGCAAATTCAACTTGCAGGATTTAAAAACACAAGCACCGCTGCATTTTTCTTACAGAATCTACCTCTGCGCTAACTGGGTTTACAATGTACATTGGTTAAAACTATGAATTGCAGGAAGAATATGCAGGAAGAGATTCTGTTTAGCTGTCCCACCTCCTCTCTGTGACGCATTAGATTTTTTTTCTCTGCTGGTCTGGGCCAATTCGCTTCCTGCCTTTCTCCCCAGTATCCTGTTTTATAAAAACACTGAGCCATGCACTTCATGTTAGGGCCTTTTAGGTGTTCTGCCACATGCTAAACCTAAATGAGCCTTTAACGTTTTGCTACCTGGGGCCTGTGAGACAAACTATTTATTTATTTCTTCTCTAGCTGGAGCATGCAGTATGTCTGCAACATCCCTCCCTTCTCCCTTCTCCTCCCACATGCCTCCTCCTCTTTTCCCCACCCACCGCTGACAGCCTGGTACAGTCGGCAGCAACAGCTAGGCAAGGATTAAAGAATCTGCTGGAAAAGAGCACTCCGCTTTCTCACTTTCCTCTTTCTTCTATCAGAAAGAGCACAGCACAATCGAATCCTGTTCAGACATGTCAAAATCAGGCTAACCAAACAAGCCAGAAGTAATCACAACGCGCAGCGCTGCAACGCGCAGCCTCCCTCGCACCACAATAAACAATTCAGGGAGAGCCTGCGTCTCCCGACCCGCTCGCAGCCAGCCTGTGGCGCGCGTTGCAGGGGAAGGCTCTCCCAGCAAACCGCAAACCAGCGGCTCAGGCTGGGCCTCCCCTCGGGCACAGGCCAACCCAGCCAGCTACACCGCCAGCCCTGTCCATCCCACCGAACTCTGTCACAGATAAGGTGCAGCTTCACAAACCGGGCTGTGCGCGACACCCAGAACACACTCGGAGCTAAGCAAAGTGAAAACAAGAAGCTAGCAAAGGGGATTGAGTACCGGGGTGCAGAAGAGCATGGGCCTATGTGGTTTCATGTAGCTCTATTACACCTAGAGCTGGCCCTATTTATCTTCCTGACAGGGAAGGCGCTGTTGACTAACTGTCAGCATTATACCACAGAGACCTGAAGAAAAGCTTGGGAACTTGAAACCTTATGTATCTTTTCTCCAGCTCTCTACTGGTTTATCTAATACAAGGTATCTTGCTAAAGTACCATGTGTAACAGAGATATGGGAAAAGATTGATGGCAGAGGGTGAAGCAAAGCTGAGGCGTGGGAGGAAAGAAACAGAAAGGCAAGACATACTGCAGAGACCAAGGCTACCACAAAGGCTCTTCCTTTTAGTCTATAATATTTGTTTCAAATACTAACAACCAGATTCTGATCATTTTGCAGCTTTAGGTAAAGACAACTCCTTCTGGCACTGAGCCGGCGCCCGGTCTCAATGAGCATGTGTGACCAGAAGCGTGTGGTTCTCGTACCTCCATGACTTCAAAGATCCTAATGCTTCCTGCCACAGCACTGCTCCTGCTTTACACTGCTGCATGCAGCAAAGCAGAATGAAGGTCTAAAGGAAAACTCATTTGTAAGGTGACTTTAAAGCCTCTCCACGTGCAGCAGAGTCGGACTATTCAGTGTGTAGCTGTACAACGCAGGAAGAGAGCTCAAGAGGCTGGATAAGCTCCAACGCTGCACGTTTTAAGTGCGGACTTACCTTAGTAAGTCCGGCTGTCTGTAAAAATGGTAGGTATGTCTGAATCTAAGTAGGTTTTATAGCGAGGGTTGGCTGCGGAAGATGCCTGTAGTACCACTCTCTAACTGGTTTTCTGGCCACATTTTTACTGATGTGAATTGTACAACTTCAGCTAGGAACTAATTTCTGACTGAACACATGAATCACGCTTTTATGCAACACTCCTCTCCCCAGACTCAAACATCACCCAACCAGTCACTGGTTTTTCTCTCATAAGACAGGAGGCCAGGATGCAAACAACTTCCTCTGTGTTCAGCAGCTAAGGAACAGCAGCACACAAGCAAAATCTAGCCCCAAATCTGACAGAAGTCACTGGCTTAATCTGAAACTGATTGCAGGTTCTCCAAGTGTCGGTCTAGTTGTACCATCTGGGTGGTGTATAACCACGCTCCCTTGAATAAACTTTTACTTGCACGTTAACAGCTAGGTTTTCCCCTAGAATGGGATCCCAAGCATTCTGGATCCCACTTTGTGGCTTCCTCACACACAACAGGTTTAGGGAAATGTGAAAATAGCGAAATGGTCCTACCGGTAGGTGTACGGCCCTATTTCCTCTACAAGAGGAGTATCGCCTTGAAGCACTTCTAAAGGATTTGTCACGTTAAAAAAGTAGAACTGCATGTAGACTGGTGGAGGAGGATCCTCCCAGGCTTCAAAGGTTTCCGTGCCATTTTTCAATACTGTTCCCTGAAACAAGAGAAAGACACATTAACTGTTAATGATAGACGCTGTATGATATTTAAAGGAAAGCGAGGAATTCTATGCCCTCAGAACAAGCACAGGCAATAGGATTCGAGACCCCAATTCTACAAATGTTTATAGGTATGTTTTACTTTGAAACATCTCAGTAAATATCAACAAGATCAGAGGCACGCTACAATGGCTCGCAGGCTAGGGGCATACTTTTGTTGGGTTTGTTGTTCCACTTCTTCCCATAAACACTTCTGCCTGACATTTTTCAGAACGAAGACTTACCAGCTATTACACAGCGAACCTGTTGCATTTCCCGTGTCATCAAAAACCTAACCTGGTGTAAGATACTACGAAGCATGCCAACATTACAGACAGAAGTGGAACTCAACAGTGTTCCTAAGAAAGTCCTCTTATGAGTAACAAGGCCAGAAAAGCAGCTTAGATTCTTTGTATTTATGATTTCTTTGCCTAAGAACGTCAGATTCCAGTATGGCTGTGAGATTCTGTCTCCAAAGCAATTAGACTTTCTTTTTCAGTGGCCTGTGAGGAAAACCTGCAAGTGACAGAAATTTCTTTCATGTAGGCATACGGGGATTCGTGCCTTTCTGAGGTCTCTGAATAGGGCAGAGATTCTTCACCCTCTGTCTTTAATTACTTTCCTACAGCAATGAGAGCGCGTGCGTTTCCAGACCCATGGACTGTCAGTCTATTTTGTAACCAATAAAAGGTGGACCTACAAAAGAAAAGCTGTAAATCATTAATTTATGACAGAAGCACTTAAGTAATGAATCAGTAATTGCTTTACCTACCAGCATACAAGTTGTAAGTAAAGTCACGACTGTAGCTGTACGTAGCTGCATTAGAAACATAATATAGGTCTCAACCCCTCATCTTATTACCATTCCATTTTAGGTAAAATTCACCCCAACTATAAAAGCACCACCACCACCACCACCAAAATCAAGGCTTTTCATATAGTTATAACACTGGTACTGCTACTGTGGTAGTAAAGAGAAATTTGGCTTGCAGAGTGGAATTTTCAGAGATAAGCAGAAAGAAAACTGTATCTTTGAACACCTTATCACCTGTAGGTGGAAGAAGGGTAAATAACTTGCAATTAATTGGGTCTCATCAACACTTGCTCCTTCTATTCTTCTGAGAAAACAAGTCAAATAATGTAAATGCAAGCTCAAAAGCAGGGAAGATTGGACAGCTGCTATTTCTTGGTTACTGTTTGTGGGGTCTTAACTTTCTCAGCCACAGTTGCCTTAGGACTCATTCTTGGCCTTCCCACTTAAGGAGCTGTTTTCTCTCCATGTAGATTTTAATTTTGAATGATTAGATAAAGACAGGACTGTTTCAAAGAAAAACTTATTGGCAGGAGCCTGGAATGGCAGCAGTATTGCTGAAGAGCAATGAAAGCCAACCCAGCTGGTAGCACTTTGCAGTTGCAGACTGCTTTCCACAGAGATTTTCAAACCATGTATTCTGTGCACACCACAAACAATAATACAAAAATTAATACATTTCAGACATGCTTTAGGAGCTTTGTGCATTTCTTTGGAACTACCAGCACCTCATATGTACCACTTCCTACACAGCTTGATGCTTTTGATCCTGTTCTCTTGCAATCTATGCCAAGGAGGCTCATCCCTGTATTCAGACAGAGCCCTCCTGAAGTTGGTTTGTAGGATCTGGAACAGAAAATCCCCCCAGATCAGGCATACTGTTTCCACAATGCCACCGTAAAGGGCTGAGAGCGAGACAGCGATGTATTTAAGACACCTACAAATGACCGTGATAGCTGTTCTCCATACGCACATTAATAACCACATTACAAAGTCAATTATTTCAGAGGTGGTGGCGTAGTGAACTGCTGATGTCTGCTCCCTTCCTAAGTTGTATAAAGCTCACATCTCTCACGTGCATGAAACACAACGAGTATAAGCTTGACACTGATAAACTATTGCCTGTCTTGACCTTAACCATCCATATCTAGGAATTTGAACTGTTCCCTAACAACTACTAAGCATATTCAGGGCACCTGTCTATTGCTCAAATGTCTCTCGGATGAGGCAATTAAACGAGAGAATATTCCTCAGTCTAAATGTGCAATGTTTAAAAAAACCAAGTGCATTCTGGTCATATTTATCCCAGTTTTAGGCTCCGGTCTATCCTTTATGACAGAGGGATCACATTTATGATGTACAGGGAGGCCACATCCCCTGTCCCCCTCTGCTGAGCTAGACTGAAAACAAGAAGCTCCCCAACTCGATGTAGCATCGCTAAATGTAACACGAGTTTCTACCACGCTCTCTGTATATACACATACGCACCAGATTACACGCAAAGAGCACTAATAAGAAGGAAATGAAAGAGCTCCTCTTTGACAGGTTGGTTTAAATACAGGCTCTTCGGATTTTGAAATTGTAAGTGATCCCCTGGTAGATGGGCTATAGAGCAAAAGGGCAGTGAAACAAAGTCATCTGGTGATTTTTCTTCCTGGATCTGCATGACACCGTTTGGATCCCCCCCAGAAATGATGAGCCTATTTATAGCTCTGTACAGTGACAGCCCCAGCTGTAAACCCAGATTCACAAACTTCTGAGCTGGATTCAGACAGACTCCCGTGAAACTCTCAAATAATAAAACACGGTAAGGTCTCTCCTTCTATTTTTCACCAAATGTTGCCAGGGATATTTGGGTCTAGCACATGATTTTACAAAGCCTGGACCTGAGAAAAATATGAGCATATATTTTCAGGCAAAACATATGTCCGCGTCCCTCAGCTGATGGCATTCAAGTTTAGCTCTGATGACTTTGCTCCACACCAGAGTAGGATCTGATGTTACATGACTGGGATTGCTTGTTTTTTTGTCAGAGCTTGTGTTCGCTACTAGGTTGGGCAGGCTGTGAGATATTAGATCACAGGACTGCTCTTTAAAATACGTGAAAGATACAGCTCCACTGTACTTATTATTGCTGTACTGCATAAGCCCAGAGAATCAGACCTTTCCTCTTGATGTATTTATATGCAAGAACAAGAGAAACAACTTAAAGTATTCAGGAACCTCAAGTCAGACACTAGTCCTGCAGGCAGTAGCCTAACGAGGCCTCAGACTCAGAGAGCCTGTCCCAGAAAGATGCAGGGGTGTACCTGCTGCAAGACCACAACCTAAAACCAGTGGACAATATGATCTGTCTTTACTCAGAAGCACAGCAGGGGTGCTCCTTCCCAAGAGGAGTCCACACTCATTTCAAGTGTACCAAAGCATCCTTCCCACTGACTTTATTTATCATGCCAATCCTGAATTTGCAGCTATCTCGTTCTTCAGTGTTTCCTTGTCTTGACCATGCTTCACAGAAAGGAAGTAAAAAGCGAGCTTCCCTTCCCAAATGTAACTGTTACTGGCAGTGACAGTGGGGGTGCGAAATGGTACTGAACATTTTTGGAACCTCCACAGAAAATTAAATTTCATTTTTTTTCCTGGAACTGCAAAATGTTCTAATTTCAAGACATCGTTTTATGTGTTCATCTAACAGAGAATTTAATTGCAACTTTTAAGACAAGTGATAGGGTAAGCTTTCAGACCAACATGAGCAGACTTCTCTGACCCTGCACCTTGGGAATGGTCTGCTCAAAAGGAGCATCTCAGCTGATCCTTCATCTAAGCCTCCACACTAAACTGTGCTGAGAGCTCTAGTATTTCACATTAAACAACAATAACAACAAAAAAAGATCAACACATAAACTAAATCAAGGGACAAAATATCTTCCCTGTCCTTTTGGGTCCTAAACACTCCAGACAATCCAGCTCTAGAGATGGCTGGCAACAAAAGTCCAGCGAAATTTCAAGGGGTTAGAAGACTACATGCTTTCTAAAATTATCAGTGTAAGGTATGGGGCATAAAGAAAATACTTGAGGGAAAGGACTGATTGCCAGAGTTTGGAAATAGGTGCATAGATCAACGGCTATTATATTCATAAACAGCACGCTTATGGCAATAAAATACATAACCATATAACCAACATATAGCATAAGGCAAACACTGCCAGCAGCTAGGGAGTCCCTTCTCCTGTGGGCAGCTAATTTAATACTGTTCATTACAGGTTTTTTGCCCTTATTCGACGGAATTTCAGGTGCTAGCCCCAGACAACAAACAGATATTGGCCAAGTTAGACATCTGATCTGGCACGGCACTCTCATTCACAAAAAGCCAGTAAGACTAGCAAATTGGGTTTGGACACACAGGTGGCTTCAGCTGCTCCAAAACATGGTCTTCCATTTCAGCTGTAGTTGATACTGCAAAGACAGCTCTTGGCTGCAAGTCAGCGCTGTTTCAGGACTGCTGGGAAGCCCTCAAAGGAATATGAACTACCTGTCATAAGGGCAACCTCTTGCCCCTTCTGCAACTCCTCCGACGACAGAGAGGTTGAGGGGGCTAAGAAGGCCCAGAGCGCACAGATAACATTTTATGTCCAATGCCCTGGACTGCAGAGAGATGGGAAAGCTCGAGTCTTGCCACATTTCAAAGGTAAGTTGAGATTTGTCTATTTGCACAAGATTTTCTAAGCTGCATACATGGTTACACAAGAGACAGCAACTTCCTAGACTGCACACGAATGAGAAAAAGCTCGTGTGGGATAAAGCACACGTGGAAAGCAGCCGAATCAGCGGAGTTATTGGGAGCACACCGCTTTGGGGCTGAAAGCTGTACTTCCAGTCTGTGTGCGCGGCTCCAGGAGAAGGCCAGGAGGGAGTCAGTGGCTAGCGCAGGGAGCCGGACGCTCGATTCGGTGCGATCCAGAGGTACGCTAGCACGAGCTGAAGGGCGGGAAGCAGGGAAAGACTGAGCTCTGGAAACTTGATCCTGCATTACTGAAAGCCCTGCTGAGCGAATACCAACTTACTCTTACATAATCAACCATTAAGGGTAAGGAGCATGTAGCTAAGAGATAATACGCATAAGGAGGATCACGTCTAATTCCTGACAGTCCTGCACTCTCCCACCAAACCGTTTTTTTTTTTACCCCACTGCTCTTTTGATAAGAGCATGAAATAGACTTGAAACTAGAACTTCTGCTGGGATGCAGAGGATGACAGACTCCTTTCCAAAGAGGCTGAAGAGCTGGGAGATGGAACTGCACGGGCCTATGCGAAGCTGTACTGACTTGGCTTGGTTTGCATACAACTTTGCATACATTAACACTCACATCACCTCACACGTGGCTTTCAGACTGCCTAGAAGAGCTACGGGCTG